TATTCGGGGCCTTTTTCCATTCCAAATGAAATTGGAGAATGCCGAGAAAGACATTTCTATAAACACTTCTTTTCTAACAAATAGACATTGGGGAATCATCTTTGATTCCCCTTTCTTCATGATCTATATCCAGTTTATGACACTCAAAACTAAAAAACAAAATAGCAAAAACCCACAAAAAACCAAAACCACCAAACACCAATAATCACTGCTACCGAGTTGAACCACCTCATAGCTTACCCTCCAGCAGGTTTTCGGAGACTGTAAATTGTGTGCATGGAAGACTGTCCATTTTCTCCTGCACTGCTGGTGGATTTGAACCATCAGAGAAGCATGACCTTTGGGTTAGCAGGGTAATTCCCTACAGATTATAAGCTCCCTGTTTATTACACAGGCTCTCATTATTCTGGCAATATTTCTAAGTTTTATCTTTCACTTCATTTGTTTAGTTGAAGATCTCACCTCTCCATTTCCATAGTATACATAAGAATCCTATCCTTCTTGTTTTAACTCTCTCTTTTCCTAATGTATTCTTGGATACAACTTGTCAGGTTAATAATTTTTAACTTGTCATCACATTATAAAAATCAGTGGCTTGCTACTACTTACCGGATCAAACTTGTGCAATCTGTAGTATTCTAAGCTTGCCATAATTCATTCTCATCTGGATGGCCATCTTTATCTCCCAATAACTCCTCATTCTCTAATATGTGTATTATGTTGTTGTTGTTATGTGCCATTGAGTCACGTGCGACTCATAGCGACCCTATGTACAAGAGCCCTAAACTCTGCTCTATCCTGTGCCAACCTTACTGTTTCTGTCCCATTAACTCAATCACTGAATAGATCCAACTCATCAAGGGTCATCTTCTCTTGTGCTGTCTCTCCATCCTCCCAAACATGATGTCCCTAAGGAGTGGTCCCTCCTTGCAACAGGCCCAAGGTATATCAGATGACACTTCTGAATGCTTGCCTCTAAGGAATAGTCTGAATTCACCCTCTCCAGGACAAATCTGTTCTCCTGGCAGTCCATAGTATATTCAACACTCTTCTCCAGCACCACAGCTCAAAGGCATCAATTCTCTTTCTGCCATCCCTAGTCACTGTATAGCTCTCTGATACATAGCATGCAATTGTGAAGACAATGGCCTGGATCAGGCAGCCTGACGTCATTGCTCTTCAGTACTCTGGAGAGGTCCCTGACAGCTAACTTTCCCAATGTAATTTGTCTCTTGATTTCCTGACTGCTGGTACCAATAGTAATGATTTTGGGGATAAGCAAACTAAAACAATCTCAATCTATTCACCATCCATTATGATACTGCCAATTGGCGCAGTGGTGAGAATCTTTGTTTTCTTGATGTTCATCTTCAATCCATATTGAAGGTACAATCCTTGACCTTCTGCAGCAAGTGCTAGGTCCTCCTTAGTTTTAGCAAACAGGGTTGTGTCATCTGCATAATGCAGGATATTATAGTGTTTTAATTTTCAGAGTGATTTAATAAACATTAGTTTATCTATAGCCCACAAGATATGAAACATGTTCAAGGATAACACCTCCTTCTAATGTAAAGAGGGATATAAGTATAACCTGAAGAAAATGACAACTCAGGCACAAAAATGGAAACTTGTACTCCAATGTTCATAGCAGAGTTATTCACCATCGCAAGAACATGGAAATAGCCCAAATGTTCAACCATAATAGAACGGATTGAGAAATTATGGTACATTCACATGATGGAATACTATGCAGTACTCAAGAGCAGTGATTTTGTAAATTAATACCTAACTTGGGAGGGACTGGAGAGCGTTATGCTCTGTGAACTAACTCAGTCCCATAAGAACAAATATTGTTGAATGAGTCTGAGGATTCAAGGTGGTGAGAATGGAAGCAGAGGGTGAAGATAGGTGGGGTGTGGTTAATCACAGGATCACACAATTTGATCAGGGTATGTAAGAAATGGGAAAGACATGGTGTGAAAAACATTGTATTTGAAATTTGTAAATAAACCAGTATAAAATATTTTTTAAATAAAGGAGGTACATAAGTAAGTACAGAGTTCTAAGTATCTTCAAAAATATAATACACTCATGAATCCCCCCTCAGATAGAGAAAAAGAATAGCATCCACACATAAAAAGTCCTCCTCCTTTATGAATGGGCCTGTCTCTTCTCTGTTTACTTATTTCATGTCTTTTATATGTCAAAAGAGATTGATGCAGGATATACCCCACACTAATCTTGTCTCATTAACATAATAAAGGCAGCCTTTATACAACAGCTCTGAACCCTGCTCTATCCTGAGCCAAACTCACCTACCCCCATTATCCTAGTCACTGAGTCAATCCGTCTCATCATGGGTCTTCCTCTCTTGTGCTCTCTTTCTACCCTCCCAAGGATAGTGTTCCTCTCCAAGGACTGGTCATGCAACATGCCCAAATTTTGTCAGACAGAGCTTCAGAATCCATGTTTCCAAGAAGCAGCCTATCTTTACCCCCTCCAGGACAAACCTGTTTGTTCTCTTTTTATTAATTTTTTTAAATTTTTTTTTAAAATTTTTGTGTGAGTGTACCGTCAAATCAGATCTGACTGGTACAGGAGGAGATTGTCCCTCCTTTTCCCGGCAGAGCATCTGCTGGATTCGAACCATGTGCCTCTGGGATTGTAGTTGCAGCTCCTTGCCACTAGGCCACCAGAGCTCCCCTCTGTTCTCTTAACAGTCCATGGTATATTTAATACTCTTCTCTAGTACCACAGCTCAAAGGCATCAATCCTCCTTCTATCCTCCCTAGTCACTGTCCAGACTTCTGATGCACAGCACGTAATTACGAAAACCATGGCACGGATTAGGTGCACCTTAGTCTCCAGACTGACATCATTGTTCTTTATTACTCTTGAGAGGTCCCTCACAGCTGACTTTCTCAATACAATTTGTCTTTTAATTTCCTAGCTGCTGGTACCAAGAGTGTTGATTGTGGAGCTAAGCAAAAGGTTAGGATTTATAACAGATATTTGGGGGATACACTATTTAATCTCTAATAAGTTGTTTTCACTGTATTTGAACTTTTCTTGGTAAGTAATATAAACTAGTATATATTTTTTATATGCTTGGGTTATTGAAAAAATAAAACAATATGATCTAAGTGAAAGTGTACGTAACAGACTGGTTTTCCATTTTGTTCACACACATTTTGTTTTATGACAGGAATGATAATCTTCATGTTATAAAAGCACTTTTCCTGCTTCCTCCTTGTGATTCTAGTTTTACTCAACACGTGTCAGATTCATTATGGTGATACATGAAGTTGCAATTTGATGACACACAACAATGACATATATTAGGTTCTCAATGGTAGGTGCTGTTGAATCTCAGACATCTCATCTACTTTAATTCTTCTATATTCTTCTCCCTACCACTCTGACCACAGCTCTCCTCTAAATTCTGCAAAGTTAGTTACAAAACTTAGACTGGATTACAAATCAACCAATCCATTCCAACAGTGACCATCATCTAGCACTTTAAATGGTTTTTTGGAGGAAACTGACTAACATGTCTCCCATGAAGTAGGTGGTGGACACGAACTACTGGCCTTTCCAATCCTTTGGGCACTCCACCACTGCTGCTTATGACAGGTCATGTTGAGTACGACTCATGGTAACCATATAAATAACTGATTTGAACACTGCCCTACCCATGCCATCTTCATAAGGACTGACACACTCAAACCCACTGCTGCAGTCACTGTAGCAACACACCTGGTTGAGGGTATCCCTCTCTTCTGCCGCTTCTCCCCCTTTCCAAGCATCATGCTCCTTTTCAAGGAATAATCTCTCCTAGTAACAGGCCCAAAGCATGTGACATGAAGCGTCATCATCTCTGCCTTCAAGAAGCACTCTGGTTGCACCTTCTCCGAGACATTTCTGTTTGTTCTTTTGGCAGTCCATGGGATTTTCAGCATTCTTTTCCAACATCACAGTTCAAAGGCATCTACTATTCTTTTCAGTCGTCCATAGTAATTGTCCAGCTCTCAAACACATAGCAAGTGACTGAAAAGACCATGGTCTGAATCAGGTGCACCTATGTCTTCAAACTGACATCATTACTCCTCAATAACTTGGAGAGGGTCCTGACTGCGGACTTTGCCAGTGCAATATGTCTCCTGATCTCCTGAATGCTCGTACTAAGTGTACTGAGTGTGGATTCAAGTATGAAGAAGTCATTGACAGTCTCAGTCCTTTCTCTGTCCATTATGTTGTCTATTGGGCCAGTGACAAGGATTTTTGTTTTCTTGATGTTGAGATGCATTCCACCCTGAAAGCTCCAGTGTTTCTCTATTGTGGCATGTGCTTCAAGCCCTCCTCTCTTTCAGCCAGCAAAGCTGTGTCATCTGCATAATGAAGATTATGGACAAGTCTTTCTCTTTCCACCTTCTTTAATGAATGCTTCCTGGATCATCCAATATTCTGCCCATAATATCCTTAAGTATTGAAACTTGAGGCTTGACTCTGTTCTTCAGTTCAATTCAGCTTAAGAAATGCCAAACAAGTTCAGCCCTTTTGGTTTTCTGACTCCAGCTCATGTTTTGCCAAATTGGCTCTTCCTTTGCCTTATCCTGCCACCACTTTAATCTCTTGCCCAGTGTTCTCTCTTGCTGCAGTCTCATGGCCAGTATTTGATAGCAGCTTTGGCATTGCTGTGTAGTAGTCTAGGCCACTTCCTCTCAGTTATTTGAAAAAGAAAACACCTACGCTTGTAGCTGCTACACTAAGGAGGCGGCTTTGGGAAAGAAATGAGGAAGTGTGTTTCTAGAACACTGGGCTCTTCTTTAGGAATGTGTTTATAAAAGTAGAGTTTGAAAAAAAAGCCATCATTTTAAGAGATAAAGGGAAGGAGGGTTATAACTTAAGAAAACACGCCAAAGACAAAATGAAATGAAATCAAAACCCAGACTCGAAGATGACCGTTGTCTAACCCCACTCTTGTCAATGTCTTTTCTTACTGTGCGCTGAGGGCCGTCTTCATTATCCCTCATGTAGAAAGGCTTGAGTGCCATTGGGTAATTAATGACAAAGACTGGGATGTTGCCACAGTGTTTCACCAAGTACTTTTCATGTTCAGTGTGTAGATCAGCACCCCACTGCAGTGAGAGAAAAAAAAAGAATTATCAAATGAGAAGACAGAGCTGAAAAAGCACAATTAGGTACCTGACGCAACCTGCATCAATTTTGAGGGCTTCTTCTCCCTAAGCCTCAGGGAGTGTGGAGCTGTCTGCCTGCTTCCACAGCTGACTAAACTAGGGCGTGATGTGTTAACAAGAACATCCAAGGCTCTGGAAAGATGAAAGCAGAAACTCACAGATAAGCACTCTGCTTTGTTTTCCCCATGCAGGGGGCAACATTTAGCAGATGAATAACATCTGCAAGAAAATAAAGCACATTAAAATTGACCTGAGAATCATGGTTTTCATTAACATTGCCTACAGCTTCTTTCACATTTATTGGTCCTAAGACTCCGGAAATTAAATGATAGAAGATAACATTACTAATAGTGAGTCTATCTTTGGACAGACAGTTCCTCATGAATTTTTTCTTTTAGACTCCAATTCATCAGATACTCTTTAATGAATATTTAATAACATTGTTCACCTATTTATTCAACTAATACCAATGTTCCCATAAAGTCTAGGTACAATGCTAGGTATAAGATACAGTGCTGAGAAAAACAGATAACATCCTTAATTTCGTGAAGTTTCCAGGGTAGGAGGCAAATACTAAAAACAATTATATAAAGAATTGATTGATTAAAAATATAATGAGCAAAAAAAAATATAATGAGCATAGGATGCTATGTAAGCTTAACAGGACTCTATTAACCAGGGTGAGGCTGGTATAAAAGAATAGTCTGCAGTAATGCTACACACTGAATATCCTGTTACTCTTATTTGTCTGGCAATATCTTAATTACAGGGAAGAAATTACTAGAATAGTAATTTGGAGATCTGGGGTCTGGCTCTGCATCTAGCATTCTGCACATGCAAATTCATATACATCTAAGTCATGTGGCTTTTCTGGATCTATATTCTTACCAATAAAATAGAGTTCTTCGGACACTTGGGACAAAAAAAAAAGACTTTCTAAAGCGGTTCACAAATTCAAAGCTTCTTGGAAGCAGGGTAGTGAAGCCTCGTCTTTTTTACTTTGTGAAGACTGCTAGGATAGGCCACTCCTTGGAGAAGGACATCATGCTTGGAAGGGGGAGGGTTGGAGAAGGAGAGGAAAACCCCCAACCAGGTGGACAGCAACAGTGACTGCCACAATGGGCTTGAGTGTGTCAAGACTGTGGCAGGACAGGACAGGGTTCAGATTTATTGTTCATAGCGTCGCTATGAGCCATACCTTGACTTGATGGCACCTAACAACAAAGGAAAACAGAACTCTATTTGATATGCTTCCCACATGTATTTGGCTATAATTTCTTTTACTACTATTACCAAAGACAGAGTCCTGGTGGCACAGTAGTTAAACAGTTTACTGCTAACCAAATACTCTACGGGAGAAAGATGCGCTAGTTCATTTTATGTGTGTAAGGATTAGGGCCTTGGATACCCTGTGGGGCATTTCTACTCTGTCCTTTGGGTCACTACGGTCAATCAACTTGACAAGATTCTGCTTCATATTTATAATTCATTTTAAATCTTAGAAAAGGAGATAAAATATCAGACAAATTTCACTTGCAGATGAGAAAACTACACCTTGCTAATGAAAGCAAGTTATTTTGAAATGATTGTGCAGTGAAGATCAGGGGGGAAACCAAACCTACAAAAGTGAAACCAAAAAACCACCACCCACCTCTGGTGTGAAGGTGAAGTTCTGGGATGCCTGCTTTAAGATTTCCACAGCTTCAGTATAAGACATGCTGGAGGAAAATAGGGTAAAAGTTGAGAAAGGTCAATACACTTTTGGATACTTGGGTTTACTTGGGTTTTTTTAAACTCCCTCTCCTTTTCTTTTAATTCCTTAATGTTTTTATTTTGTTGTGAAGCATATACGCAGCAAGATACACACTAATTCAATAGTTTCTAAAGATATCATTTATTAACATTCCCTTTCTTCCTAAGTTGATCCTCTCTCATTCAGAGTCAATGTCTGCAAGGTTCCAATCGAATCTTTCACTTTTCTGTTGTCAATTTGATCCTATATAGATAGTTCTTAAAAGAGCATAATGCTCATGACAAATATTTTTTACTACTAGAACTATTACTTGGTTTTAAGAAGACATAATAATCCTTGGAATATTTTTGGTGTAACATCTAAAGTTTATCTCAGGACAGTAGTTTCAGGGGAAATATCTATCCTCTGTGGCTCCAGAAAGTCTGGAGCCCATGAGAATAGGAAATTCTGTTCTGCATCCCCTAACTCCCTTTACGCAGGATTCTTCTGTAGAATCTTTGATTAGTAAGACTCGTAGCTAGACACCAATCTGGTTTCATGGGTTATTTTGGTTTTGTCTCAGTGAAAGAGGCAGTTGTTCATGGAGGCAATTAGCCACACTTCCCATACCCTGCTCCTAGTCTTAACTCCTCTTCATCTGTTGCTCTAGGTGCATAGAGATCAGTTGTGCCTTGGACAGTTCCTTGCAAATTTTTAAGACCTTAGGCACTAGACATCAATTAACAGAAGAGAGGTCAATTAATGGGAACATCCCATGAAACCATGATCCCTAGATCTCCAAACAAAGAGACCAACTATCATGAAGTATTCTGTTATATAAACAGCCTCTACAGCTCCTTCTTTTTTGTGGTTGCAAATATGTAACACAACTTTGGCCAATGCAACTTTCTACAAGTGTACAACTTATTTAGTTAAAATAATTGGTGTGTATTCTCTCAATCAGTGTAATTTTCCCACCATTGTTAAAATACACTTATCTTTTTTGTCTTGCCCCCAGAAACTACTAGAAATTTTGGTCTCTATACATTTGCCCTTCCTTATATTTTTATGCAAATGAGTTTATAGAACTAATTTATGTAACTAGCACATTTTACTCAGTATAATCTTTTTTTTAAAAAAAAAAAAAAAAGTTTTGTTCCAGAGAGGAGATGGACCTTCATCCTCAGAAAAGCAATAGAGAGTGAATTACCCAGCATTAGATTGTTAAGCTCCATCCAGAGTCTGCATTACATAAGACTTCATTTCTCCTACTGGTAGAGTAGTATTCCCTTGTACATATGTACCACATTTTGTTTATCTACTTATCTGGTGATGGACATGTAGATTGTCTCTATCTTTTGGCTAATGTGAATATTGCTGCAATGAACACTACTGTACACGTTTCCCTTTGAATATCTGTATCAAATCTTTTGTTAGTGGAATTGCTGGCCATATGGTACTTTTAGCTTAGTTTTGCTTAGTTTTTACAATAGGAACCACCACACTCTTTTCCACAATGGTTGTACCATTTAAAATTCTCACAAGTAGTGGATAAGGGTTCCAGTTTCCACTTACCTTTGCCCCTGTTTGTTAATGTCAAGATTTTTGCTATGGTAGCTTTTGTTTTTTTTTTTAGTCATCTTCAACAAAAAACCCCTACTCATAGCTGACCTTCCAAAGAGGTTTTCAGAAGCAGCAAATTGTAGGGGTGGAGACTGCCCATCTTTCTCCTGTGGAGCAGCTAGTGGATTCAAACCTCCTACCTTTGGGTTGGCAGCACAACTCTTTACCAACTAGGCCAACAGAGATTCTTTTAATCGTCTTAGTGGGAGTGAGATGGTATTGCATTGTGATTTTGATTTAGATCATTCTGAAAACCAATGACATTGAACATAGTTGTTTGGTAGTTCTCTTTGGTGAATGTTATTTAAATCTTCTACTCATTTTATGACTGGGTTGTCTCTGCTATTAAGTTGTAAAAGTTTTACATATATATCTTAGCTATTAGATTCCTTTTTGATATACAGTTTCTAAAGGTATCCTCCCATTTTCTGGTAAAGTTTGTTGATAACAAACATTTGTAATTTGTATGAGGTCCATTTATGTAGTCACTTGCTATTTGTGCTTTTATTATTAGATAAGTCATTACTGTAAGGGAAGGCTAATAGCTTTGCCCTTGGTTGCTATCCTTATAATTTTATGGTTTTTTAATTTTACTACTTGTATCTTTAATCTACACTGAAATTGTGTTTTGTGTATGGCTTGGAGGAACATATCCAGTTTCATTCTCTGTATATACAAATCCAATTTTCCCAGCACTATTTATTGATGAGATTCTTTTCCCCCACAATGAGTGGACCCTGCACTCTTGTCGACTATTTTAGACTCAAAACATCACTGAGATTCACGGTCATAGGGGTTCCCTTACTCTCTATTATGCCAGTGAGCCAGGTCACTTTTGAGGCCCTTCACTATCTCCTCTTTTTCTAATCCCGCACTACTCCTGTACTATTAATTCAAATTTAAAGACTCCTCACTTTTTTTACATGTAACTTCTCTCATACCTGAACTCTCAGTTTGATTAGTCTCCCAAATTTTCCTATTCCTTTTCTCAAACTCAGGTTGAACACTTCAGACTTCTGAGAACATAAGTTTTCTATATTAACTTACAATCAGAAACAGTTTTGAATATCAAACTTATTTTTTATATACACTCTACATACATCTTTAAGACAGCACTACACATACTTATTTTAAATAATTTCTACTGCATATGAAGAGGTTATTTACTTTTCTTTTTCTAAAGCAAGCATGTTTGTTTTTGATAAATATGAAAAAAATTACTTACATTAATGATTAATACAGTTAATAGAATAGACAACCAGTTCAGTGTTAAGTACTAACTGAAAAGGATTATAGTGGCAACATTAATGTATGTGTTAGACTTAAAACACATATTTCTATATTTTATAAAAAATCGTTAAAAGTAACCTTTGAAGACACAATAGTAGGCTTTAGGATGTGAAGATAAAGAAGGGCAGACTAAAAGAGAGAAAAGTCAGGGGCAGACATTACATGTGTATATTTTGTCTGTTTATAATCAAGTCAAATTTTAAAAATTAAAGTTAGTATTAGTTTGAATTGTGGCTACACAGATAATTATTATGTTCATTTGTCTTGCTTTGATTTATTCATAAGTATTTCATAATCAATTATGAGCCAGATGAAGAACTACAAAAATGATTAAAATCACAGCCTTTACCTCACAACTGTCAATGAGGAATTATAAGGTAAAGAGACACACAAACAACATAAAAACTATAATACAGTATGAAAAATAAAAAGCTAAGTCAAATCATACTTACATTAAAAAGTTGCTTTTCAGCATATGTTCTAATCTATCCTTGGTGAGAAAAGAGGAAAACAAAAATTTATTCAACATAATGATATTCATTATATATAATTAATCTATTTCAAGAATAGAAGACTCCTTTATTCACAAAACAAACTACCTTTTGGCCAGGAGCTATGAATTTGTGACAGAGTTCAACATCTTCAGGACAAGATGAGAGAACCTTCACTGTGACAGTCTTGAAGAGCCCCTCCATGACCTATAGAGAAAAGACAGAATTGCTTGACAGGTAAGCAACTTCCTAGGAGAAATTTGTTCACGCCTCTGAAAGCACTGCCTTCCATTTATATAAAACTATAAAACTCTTATGCTTCTTACTTCCTGAATATATTAAAGCACACTGACTTTTTCAGACTTCTTATAAGAGGTATCTCAACTTCTAAGAGGAAGGAAAAAATAAGAAAGCAAAATATTTGAATCTTACATGAATAGTTTCAATATTGGTATTATTGTTGTTGTTATGGGCCATCAAGTCACCTGTGACACATAATGACTCTGTGTACAGGAGCTCCGGAGCCTGTCCTGTTCTGAGCCAGTCTCACGGATTCTGACACATCTACTACCCCCATTGCCCCAGTAACTGTATCAACCCAACACATTGGGATCTTCCTCTCCTGTGCTGTCTGTTCACTCTTCCAAGTAAGATGTCCTCCAAAGACGGGTGTCTCCTGGCCACATACCCAAAAATATCAAATGGAGAGATGGAATGGACCAGTGCTTTTCTAAAGACCACATTATCCTAACCCGAAAAATCAGGATGACAATGGTCCCTAGTTTATAGGATTGTTGTGAGGATGAAATAAAATAAACCACAAATAAGATTTATTGTTGTACATGATTCGGAGAAGCAATTTACAATAATTGTGGTGAAGGCGAAGAGAACTCTGAGAAGTGGTTCAGTTACACTAAATTTAACATGCAGTAACAAACACAAACACTACATGCTGGTTGCCTAGTGCTCCTGACTGCTCTGATTAGGATGACAGAAGGTTCTAGACAGAATAGGAGAAAAAAAAATGTTGAACAAAATTAAAAATCTTAAAATAAAGCAGACTTACAAGTCTGATAAAGACTAGTGGAAGGAACCCCCAACATTATGGTCCTTCAAACTTTATGGACACCCTTCAAAATTGGCAATGAACCCACTACCTCTAAGGACCACGCAGCCATATAACAGACATGTCTGCAAAACAAACAGACCCATAAGGGAACATTACCACATGTAAGACATGTACTCCTCAGAACAATAAATTACACGATGATACCAAAGAGGTAACATTTGCCTACAAACCAAGCTCAGAAGGCAGGAACAGACAAGAAAGACAGACAAAGGATGCCAGGAAGCCAAGGTAGGAGAAACAGAACTGTTACATGGAGGGAATTACAACTGACGCTACAAAAGAGGTTGCCTATAAATTGTTGAATGGAATAGGAATTTATAAATGCTCATCTAAACCACATATGTACATAGGCCACCAAAATGTAGAAAGCAAGCAGCTTTTTGAAAAGATTTTCCTCTTGTCAGAGTAACTTTAAAATAAGCAGTAAGTCATAAACTATATATAAACATATACATTATTGCTTAAGTAAAAAAGTAAAAATAATACAAATATATATCCCATACAAATGAATATGTAAGAATTCAATCTATCAAAGAAGTCTATGACAGCTTGATAGAAATTCTCATAAGAAAAAAAATTATAAAAATGGAATCATCTTCATATTTTTTAATCAGAACTAAAATTTCTAGTCTGAAATCAGTAAGATCATACAAAGTTCAAATCAAAGCCACTGCCATCAAGTTGATTGACTCTGATGAACTGCTCCATAAAGACTGGTCCATAAAGTAAAGGCTGCAAATCTTTATGGAAGTACACTGTCACATCCTTCTCTATGGAAGGGCTAGGTCGTTTTGAATGGCTGAGTTTTCAGTTGACAAACAAGTACTTTTATCTCTGTGCTACCATGACTCTTTCTGAGATCATAAAAGGCTTTGCAAATGCTGTATTCATACAGCTAAAAATATAAAAGTACCACACCACTCAAAACCCAAATGTCCAATGGATTTCAATTTTGGTAACCCTCCATCAAGCCTCTGATGCTATAAATCTTTCTAAGGAACAGTTAGTGGATTTGAATTACCAATATTCTGGTTTGGGTAGAATGCTAAATGATCCAGGAAGGACTGAAAAAAGATGGAAGGAGTACACAGAGTCATTGTATCAGAAAGAATTGGCGAACATAGAAGAATTTAATGAAATAACATATGAGCAAGAGCCTGTGGTGATGAAGGAGGAAGTTCAAGTTGCTCTGAAGGAACTGGCAACAAACAAGCCTCTAGGAGTTGACAGCATACCAACTGACATATTTCAACAAACAGATGCTGCCCTGGATGTGCTCCCTAAGTTGTGCCAAGAAATCTGGAGGAAAGCCAGCTGGCCAGCCGACTAGAAGAGATCAATTTGTTCCCATTCCAAAGAAAGGTGACCCAACAGAGTGCAGAAAGTATCATACAATATCATTAATATTACATGCAAGAAAGATTCTACTGAAAATTATCCAAAAACGATTGGAGCACTATGTCAAAAGAGAACTGCCAGATGTGCAGGCTGGATATAGAAGATGTTGTATTACTAGGGATACTATAGCTAATGTTAGATGGATATTGGCAGAAAGCAAAGAATACCAGAGGAATGTCTATCTGTGCTTCATTGACTATGCAAAGGCTTTAGACAGTGTGGATCACAACAAGCTATGGCTGACTCAGAGAAGAATGGGAA